CTGTGGACAGTGTTTCCTTGGTGTTCCACAGGCCCTTTATGGCCAGTTCATGATGATCTGAACTCTAAAGTATGCCTTTATATCATGATATAGGTATAGTTTTTGATCTAATAGCTACTTTTAGCATGACAATGCATAATTTTACCAAAGTGAAATCTTCTCAGTCTGGCTTCCAAAACATGACAAATAGTGTCAATGGATTTTAGGTCCTTCCTCAGTCACCTGATCTTTAAATTGTGATTGCAGCAGGTTGGGGAACCCTAAATTTTATGACCTGTCCTCTTTCTTATCTTTCTCCATCTCTGAGTGAAGTTAGCTCCCTTTCTTTTCTCTCCCTGTGAAACACAGCAGCTGTATCTTTAGCTAGCAGACGCAGTGCAACAAACTACATACAGTTTACGTGTTTACTGATGTTTCTTGAGCTGATAGAAAGGTTGAACTCCAAAAGATGATTCTGTTCGTAGCGTTTTGTGGGAGAAACGTTTCGTCACTCGTCCAAGTGACTTCTTCAGTCTGAGCTGACTGCAGGTTTCATCTTATAAACAGTACATTTGCATAATGACTGAAACCAGCCCACTGAAGGAACAATGGGCTGGGAGGTCAGTTCCTTAATCTTAATTATACAAATTCTCATGACCATTGATCAACAACCACTGATCAAAGCCCACTGATCAATGGCCATGAGTACCATTCACAGAGAGTTGGGGAATGGCTGCAATCACAGCATTGTAAGATGGCAAAAGATGTACCCTTAGGCCCCCTCTTCAATTCAGAGATGGTCTTTCCCTTTTCATGTAAATGGCCTCCTTGACTCCTCCTCCAGCGTTCCTCCCTGTCCAAGATGTGTACATCCTCATCCTTGAAAGAGTGTCCACTGGCCTGTAGGTGTAAACAGACTGCAGCCTGACGAGGTAGCTCTTCTGTGTTGTGCCATCCGCTTTGCCAGAGGTTGTTTTGTTTCCCCGATGTATAAATCCTGGCAATCCTCCTGGCATTTAACAGCGTACACTATGTTACTCTGTTTGTGTCGGGGGACCCGATCCTTGGGGTGGACCAATTTTTGGCACAGCGTGTTTTGGGGTTTAAAAGTCATAGATACCGGACATTTAGAAAAAATGTGTCTCAACTGCTCCGATACTCCTGACACGTAAGGGATCACTACAGGTTTTTGCTTAGGCAGCGGTTGTCCTTTTCTCCTGGATCGGCTGGAGCTTTCTTTAGGTGCCTTCCGAGCTTTGACAAAAGCCTCCTTGAGGTGCTGTTCTTCTGCTTCCCTGGCCGCTGTGTCTGTGGGGATGGTGTTCGTGTCTGTGGGGATGGTGATATCCTCATGTCGGTGTTGTTCCCACATCATCATAATAAATGTTGGTTCCAGGTTCAACATTGCAAGTGACCAATCACATTGTTGTGATGTCATACTTTTGCGACTTTGGAAAAAATGGCCTTAAAAAAAATCTACTTAACTTGCGAGAAACCGCCTCTGTCTGCCAATCCAGCACCGACACGAGGATATCAGATCATTCTTTTTGCACACAGGGCCATGTGGGTATGGATTTTTTTCCCCAATTAATAATAAACACCTTCATTTAGAAACTGCATTTTGTGTTTACTTGTGTTAGCTTTGTCTAATATTTAAATTTGTTTCATGATTGGAAACATTGAAGTGTGACAAACATACAAAGCAATAGGAAAAATCAGGAAGGGGGCAAAAACTTTTTCACAACACTGTAGGAGCAAAACAAGATCAAAAACTATTGGTCTTGTTTTCAGCAAGTGATTGGCATCATCATGTATTGCTTTTTGTCCTGGCAGGCAAAATGAATTGTGGCGCACAGAGTTATATTTTATGTCCAGCTAGTTTTGTTGCAAGTAGATTACAACTGAATTCTATACACCATTATGATCATAAAAAACAAGATGCAGGTGATCATAACAAAAACCTTCCTAAGAGGCTTTTTAGTTATAGTGTTACTTTTTACTCACTGCATTTCATTTCATTAAGAAATCCAGAGATCTGTGTGTTTGTTTGCAAACAGCTGACATGATGTATGTATTCTTGTAGCAAATAAACACCTCTCCCCCACAACAATTAGCAAAAAAACAAACAAACTGAAGAGAAAACATAAACACATGTTGTCCTGCATGGAATACTTGGAATACTAATTGGATTTTGTATGTTTTTGTCTGCATGTATTTTGCATTTCTATGCCTGCAGGCACACATTTTTAAAACCAGGTTTTAGGTGCCAAGTTTATAACTGTTTCTGGTGGATGAAATGTTTTTTTTGTTTTTTTTTAATAGCAATACTTAAAAAAACAAAACAAAACTACTTTCCTATTTTGAAGTTGCATATATACTTTATCTTCATTTCCATATTTTGTGTTTTGTTCTCTATGCCTATGAACTCATTTTCTCTTCTCTTTCCACTCAGTCCCAGCCAGTCGGGGCAAATGGCTCCCTATCTCTGAGCCTGGTTCTGCCAGCGGTTACTTTCTGTTAAGAGGTTCCTTCACACCATCGCTTTCCCACAATAATAGGATCTAATTGTCTCTTTACCTTCTAGTGTAACGTACCTTAAAGTGACTATTGTGATTTTATTTATTATAGACATATAATGAATTGACATCGGACAACCGGCATCTAGTTGTAACTACGGCTTGTGTCCGCTAGGTGGCGTCTTTTCTCCATCTCTGCTGCTTTAACTTCGGAAACCCCTATCCCTGTGCAGTATTCGCTTAGCTTATTAACCTTATGTGTGACAGCACCAGTCGGGCTTCTTTTCTTCTCTTCTGTGATGTGACTGACATCATTTCAGTTTGGTCCAGGATCGTGCAGTCCCTGCACAAGTCTGTCACTGGTTCTGTTAGGGGGAGCTTGATATGAAACTCTCATCAGCTTCGTGTGACGAGCACGAGAGCCGCCAGTGTTTTCTGTGACGTAGGCCAGCCGCACCACACTGCACTTTGGAGAGCTGCGAGAGGTGAAGAAAAGCGTGCGCTTCTCTCTTGTGGACGCAACCGGCTGCTCTTATAAGGTCGTTTCTCTGAATTGTCGGACACTTTGATATGAGACCAATCAGGACTGGAGAGGGAGGGTCCTGGGATTTTCCCGTGTGAGTCGAACCTACACTTGCAGGCGATCAGGGTTCATATTATTAACCTGAAGACATGACAATTTCTCTGACAGAACTATGATCAGCGCTGATCTCTAACTAAAGACACGAAGGAAAAGGTGAATTTTCACATCACTTTTTTGTTTGCGGATGCTGGATCGAAACTCAGTGGAGGAATTTGACAAAACAGGTTTAATGTGATGTTACTAACTGCTGGAGACACAAGACCACTGGCTGACTTGCGAAGCTGACGAAAAAACCTCTTCTTACTAGGATAAAAAAGATTCCTGAAGATTTACCGGCGATATTTTGCAGGTAAATTTTAATTACATTACATTTAAATTTTCTGTAAATGTAGCTACAAAGTATGTCGCATGTAATTGATAACGTTTTTGTGATCTATGGGAACATGTTGGAGCTTTGGATTCTGCATTCAATAATCAGTTAATCATTTAGTAGCAGTTTACAAAGCTGCCAGTTTGCTTCTCAAGCTGTTTGTATGTTTCAATTAAAAATAGATTTTGGGACTGTAGCTAGTTCTGAATGCATTTGACTCAATCGTGCACATGAGCCCACAGTGTACAGTGCTGGCACGCTTTTACGCCCCCCCACACACACACCACACCTCCTTTTTTATGGATGCGTCTTGGTGACTTCGTGCGCATACCTGAAAAATGCTTGCGTGTTCTGCATGTTCCCACTGGGAAAATGTTCAGGCACGTGCCAGTGCGCTCAGCTTAAGAACCTATACTGTAGTTAGGATGAAAGGTGTTTGCTCCCTATTATGATGAGTTTGCGTGTGCAAGGCTCACTAAGTGTGTGTCTTAATGGCAAAGAGGCATAGAAAAAGGGGCAAATAAATAAAAAAA